CTGCGATAAGTCGCTAAGCTTAATATCGGCAGAGATACTAAGCCTAGGTACCGGAATATTTATCCTAATCACCTCATCACTGACCCCAGCGGGCAAATCGCGTTCGGTAGCGTCGTTGTTCCTTACATCGCCGGCGGTCGTCCCGGTGGCGCGACCCGCGATGTGTTGCACTGCAGGAATCGGAACAGCGGATGAGGGATTGTTCATATTTATCAATTGATCATTGTTATTCAGGGCAATAGGCGGTGGCGGGACAGTTCCATTGGTCATATCGATAGCGGAGGGCAATCCCCAACGACTTCGCCTAGACTGCTCCATTTCCAACTATCCTGACCCAGATCAGGCAGACCACGTCGCCAGGTAAAGAGAACTGTCAACTTATCTGAAAGTCTGTTGTAGCACCGAACGGGTGCTACGAAGCTCTTGACAGAGCCTTCGGCAAAGGGCAGGGACCGCGGAAGGAACCGGCGGCTCGGAACCTGCAGCAGCTTTAAGGCTAGTAACCCAAAATCGTAGAAAATATAAAAAACAGTTACAGAACCGTCTCGATACCAGACTTGTTATATCTAACCAAACCACAACTGGATGGTGGCGTCGGAAGACACCGATTGGAAGAGTTTCGTCCACATAGCGGGGGATGCAGCCATCCCATGAATCGTACAGCCAGTTCCGAAATGGCGCGGTCCAGTCCCGGAATGGCGTACCGTTGATCCATGCTTCCAATAGATGACGGGACTCCGCGAGCCAGGGACCAGCGTCCCAGTCGTAACCTGTGCTACGACCCCCGCCCATACTTTTGCAAGTATGGACTTCCACCTGAGGCGGCGTTTACTTGTAGGCATCCACGACAGCTTCCCGCTCGCCATCTGACCCAGAGGTCGGAGCCATAAAGATCTGACAGAAAGGCGGCAAAATAGGCAGTTGGAATTCAGTTAGTTCCAGTGAACTTGTCCAGTAACCGCGCCAAGCGAGAAAGGAAAAACTAGACAGAAAATGTATCAGTTTGGGACCAGATTTAAGAAGCGGAATACAACAACTAGGGGTGATCTTCCGTACTTGTCCGACCGCCTTCTGATTTGGTATAAAGAGACGATGGAACTTCTGTTCTCTTTGGTCTGGAATGCATTTTGTATAGTGAGTTTGTGACTGAGCAAAGCTGCTGGGTGCACTTGCAAGACGCAGGCAATCACTTGTGCTTCCGATCCACTTTGCCTCGAATAGACTTTTAGCTGCTTTGGTGACAGCACCTAGTGTTGGAGACTGCGAGCCACGTCTCCTGACAGCATCCGTGCTTGCAGCTAGCGCGGGCAACGCTTACTGCATCTTCAACACGAATCCAATCGTACGGCTTGGATCTAGGTTGCCCGGCACATCCGCAACTTCCTTCCTATCAACGAACTGGTTACGTATATGTCATAGTGAAAGGGATTGGGCTTCGATCCAAGTTGGGACTAGACATTGGCAAACGCTTCGGGATATTCGGGAACTCTATTCTGTTTTCGGGCGTATCGGTACGACCCGGACATCCCGAAGCGTTTGCTGATGTCTGTAAGGGCCTACTGAGGCTCGCCGGGACGGTCAAGACATTGCGGTCTCAGCTGTTTTATCTGGAACAGTGCAGCAGCACCGCAGCACCTGTGGGCCAGCACCTGTGGGCCGGAGTATCGGACCGGGGAACTGATTATCCTGCATTTGCAACGCATGGAAACTTTATTATGGACACATAGCTTGTAGATCGAAGAATGAGTTGAAGCATTTCCCCTGCCGTTCGGCTTCTGCTTGCCAGCCCGGATAAGTGTGATCTCCCGTACAACCGAAAAATCATTTGATTCGGGTCAACCGATGCATTGCAATTTTTAGATAGCGAAGTGCTGTTGTGAGTTTATAGCTGAAATATTTGCGCATACTGCGACGTGTCTTGACATATTGAACCCTTACCTTTACAGGTAAACAACCATTGTTGTGAGGCACATATTCATTTTGCTTGAAGCTATTATATTGATGATCAAATAATGATGTAGTAAATTAATTCCTTTACCGCCTGTATAGCTCTGGTGCACCGCCGCGAACAACATCGGTTCCCTGTCCCTCTCTACTCGTCAGCCTATTACTGATATAGTGGCCGCTACAAAAATGATTCCTGCCATATCGGCTTTTCTTGTTGCGGGTCAACGCTGCAGCCGACATGTTGCAAATTTCGTCAGGGCCGCTTTTGAGATCACTCCTATTGCACAAAGCTGTCCGACGTCAAAGCAAATTCATCGAAACATTAGCAAATGGGTGTCCGTGTTCGGGCATGGCGGCGAACACGTTTCCCCCGGAACCCAGCCAATTGGGCTCTTCGGCAGACCGGAGCTCACACGCCCAGAGGACTGGCAACGAGTGGCAGACGAGACGGAGGCCAGGTGCGACGCCTCTCCTGAACATAAAACCTCCTCAATTCGCTTACTCTTCCCTTTTCCAACCTTCGCCGGTCCATGGGATCCATGTTCAGCTTGTTGGCTGGCTACATATCTGCATGTGTATGTGTATGTGTATTACACCAGGAGCTGCGTCACTCTCCAAAGATGTAACCTGGGGCCCACACATACCTGTTTACAGCTCGCGCACGTTATCCATACGCATCGTGTCCGACGCGCCCACCCGACACACACACACACACACACACACACACAAAAAAAAAAAAAAAAAATATTCCCCCCGTCCCACCACCGACGTGTCCTTCCTCACCTCCGATCTTCCCGGTCCGGATTCCTCTCCCGATGGGGAGCGAAGGGAGGGGAGAGAAAAGGAGGGGAAGTGAGGGCTATTGGGGGGGGCCCGGCTGTTCGGGATGAGCATCTGAAGAAGGAGCCCGCCGCCCTGAAAGGCATCTGTGAAGCCTTCATACGTGTTCATACGCTCTTAAAGAAGTCGCACCCGACCGACCTTTCTTACTTCGTGACATCGCCACAAAGCCCCAATCCCACAAGTCGCGACTGGGGCTTAGCTCCTCCTTCCTTACTTCTGCTAGGGTGGTAGTGGTATCAGTCTATGTATATTCTTGGCATCAGCTTCACTCGTTCACGTGGTTCGTCTTTAACCCCTCTTTTTTCCCTGTAATTTTTAGAAAACATTTCCTATATTTACCCCCGGGTATATTTATATTATAGTAAGGTTATTTTAATTTTTGTGGATATTTTTGTGGATATATAAATAAATATATAAATATATATATATATATATATATATATATATATATATATATATATATATATATATGTATATATATATATATATATATATATATAAACCGGATATGTATCCGAGGGCCGAGGGCATGAGCGCCTCGGCAGCGTCGTTCACGTCCTGCGGTACACATTCTGCAAGCTCAGCGCTAGCGCGAGCCCATCCTGGGTCCCGCCTGCTCCCACGTGGTAGGTCATGGCAAAGCCGTATACGTAGGGCTCGTACGTTCTGCAAGCTCAGCGCTAGAACGTACGAGCCCACATATACGGTTTTGCAATGACATACCAAGTGGGAGCAGGCGGTAACAAGGGTGGGCTCGCGCTAGCGCTGAACATGTACATAGTATTCCGCAGGACGTGAACGACGCTGACGAGGCGCTCATGACCTTTCGGAATCGAACTGGTGACCTCTCGATCCTTTCGGCACTGTCGTAAGCGCGTTCGGCATTCCTTCCACTCGATGCGCTTATATACAACACGATGTATACGTTTCGGTGAAAAACAATATATACGTGGAACATGTAGGTGTGACATGCTGCTGGCGGAGGTACTGGACACGACTCCTGAGGACGGCGTCGAAGTGGTGGCGCTCATAGACGAAATGTCCGATCAGGTACGGCACGTACGACAGTACGGCAATCGACTGTGCAAACTTACAGCTCTGATTTCAGTTGCTTGTTTGAGGGCAATGTGGCATTTCGCCGAGCACCTGATCAGGACCGCCCTAACCTCGTGCCTCCCCTGTACCATTCGCCACGTGCCGTACATTCCCCCACTGCCGTACCCGTTCCTTTCCTTTGTTCTATGTACGGCAGCTCTGTCGGACGTACGACGCCGCGGAGTGCTGCCGTAATGTACATTCGGATCCCCGATGGCGGCAGGCGGCGGGGAAGGCGTGCGTGCAGCTGGGGGGTACGTGGGAGTACGGCAGCAGTAGCGGCGGAGGTTGGGGTGGTGTTTGGGTTTCACAGGCTCCGGGACTTTCCTGCGGCAATGTACGACACCACATGTGGCAGAGTGGGTGTATGTGTGTAAGCATTTATGTATGTATGTTGTTACAGGGTGGTACAGCCTCACCAGCGGCCCCCTTTCCCGAGGCAGTTCCCTGCTCTCCCCTGCTAGAGGGGCACCCTACTCCGTCACCCCATCCGACTTCAGAATGTATTCGTTGGGTTCAGCAACTCACCACCAGCATCCAACCCAATCTAGCGGATCAACGGCGCCTCAACTTAGTTCCTGGTCAGCTCGAAAGTTGATATTATCACGTCCTACACCGTCCATAAGATGGGGGCCCACCTCCCATTTCAACACTTATCATACACCCGAGAAGTCGGCAGGAGGATTTGAACCCGGACATTTATGTACGTATGTACGGTTTTGAAAACCGAGCATCGCTGACGCCGTTTTTCTTACGTAATACGTAATCTCCCGTACAGAGTATATCTCTAGGGTGAATCACCACGAGGGAATGTACCAGCGACTGAGTACGGCACTAGCAGCGTACGAATCTAGCTTGGCGGCGCTGGAGAAACGGGAAACCCCTAGGGTAAGATTTGATGTACGGCATGCTAATGATGCGCAACGATGGTTTTTGTACGAGCTTCTTCTCGCGTCTGAATCTATCGCTGGTCTGCCTCTGCACCCCCTGCAACACCCCTTCTCTTCCCGCCTATGTCTGGTATCAGCTTCGCTTGTCCGTGTGGTTGTTACAGCGGGTCCGCGGTTTGTCTTAACCCCCCTCTCCCTCCCCACCCCTCCGAGGGCCGTATAGTTGGGCCCTCAGCAACTGGCTGGGTGGTGTTCGGAGAGCGTCCTCGTGGCGCAGAGGCTTAAACAGGACATGGAACTGGTGAGGAGGGGGGGTAGGGGCTTAAACAGGACATGGACTGGTGAGGAGGGGGGGTAGGGGCTTAAACAGGACATGGAACTGGTGAGGAGGGGGGGTAGGGGCTTAAACAGGACATGGAACTGGTGAGGAGGGGGGGTAGGGGCTTAAACAGGACATGGAACTGGTGAGGCATAACTGGAGCTCGGGAACTTGGCGCCCGGGTCAACGCGACAAAGCGGGGGACGTATGGGGGGATTTCGGTGCCCTTGGTGATATTGTCATGACCGCCGTTAAGCTTTAACTATTTCTGTTGTACGATTGTACGCGGTTGTGTTTCCAATTTTTCTGTCGGTTTTTATCGTAGGACATATATTTCCCCGGCACTCGCAGGGGGGGATCCATCTGCCGTCTCTGGAGCAACGGAATCGGTTTGCCGAGCTTGCAGCCGCCAACGGTCATTTCGGAACGGCCTTCAATGCAGCTCTGGTGGGGAAGTGTGGTGGCCGGCGACAGGCTTGGCAGTGTGTTTTTTGTTTCTTTGATCTGTTGTGTCCCTGTATGTATGTATGTATGTATGTATGTATGTATGTATGTATGTATGTATGTATGTATGTATGTATGTATGTATGTATGTATGTATGTATGTATGTATGTATGTATGTATGTGCGTATGTGTGCATATATATTATAACGGACAAATCGTTTTTAAGGAAAAATGCCCTTCAAGGGACACCCATATCGCCCCTATTGTCGTACATTGTAAAACCCTTACCCATCCGTTCGTCCATTTTCCTCCCCCACTCCCCCCGGGGAATCCAAACGTGCGGGTTTCGCGTTGCTGTACGGCTCCATCACGTCGTGTAACGCCTGCATTCGTACAGACCGACCCGTCCAGGGTGGGTCGTGTCCGCCTGGGTTTGGGTCGCAGCGTCTCCCTGGAGCCTTCCCAGGTGGCGGCGCTGCTGGTTTCGGAGCCACATGAAGCCGTACGGAGGCAGGTGGGGGCTTTTTCATGGGGGAGGGGGAAATGGGGGACTGGGGGTCTTGGAAGGGGGCAAAGTGGGTTACGTGTATCGCCTGTGTACGCTACTCGGTGCTGCGGGGATTCCTGCTACAACCTCTGCTACCGCTGCTGCTGCTACTGTGTGATATGTGCCGCTACTGCTGCGGCTGCTGGTGGTTGGTTGGTTGGTGGTTGGTGGTTACTGCAGGTGTACATGGCGGCTGGTAGCAGCCCCCCCTGTAATGAGCGTCTGCTGGAGGAGATGATTGCCGTACGGAGGGAAATGGCTCAGATGCAGGTAGATGGGTGCGAGGGGGGATTGGGCTGTGAGACGGGGAAGAAAGAGGGGGGGAAGAGGGGGGGAAAGAGGAGGGGAAAACCCTAAAACCTAGGACATCCATAACTCCAAAAGATCTACGTATCTAGCAAAGCACCAATATCGCTCGGGTGCTGATAGTTGTGTGGGACACATGGTAACATGCGCTAATGCGCCGTCCTTCCACGTCATGCAGTACGGCAGTTCGGTGTCAGTTGGACATCTGGCAGTTGGCGTACTGCATTCACATTCACATCCACCCCGAAAACCCCAAAACCCAATTCGCGTGACTAATACGACAATTTACCGCCTGAAGCGAGTGACGCCTTTTTTTGCTGCTACTGGTTGAATTCTTGGCGCTCCTACTTTATTTATCACACCCAGCATCGTAATAACATTATACATCATATATATATCAATAGTTCCCCCTCCCATAGTCTCCTAATTAAGCAAGTGTACAAAATTTATGAGACAGCTTTGTCATCTGCTGCAGCAGAAAAACAAAATGATAGTAAATCAGTTAAAGATGCCCGTGGTTTCTCTCACTCACATCTCGCCATTCACCGTTCGCTGTTCGACGCCACCCAAAACGAGTCAGGGCTATCCAAGCTACGCCGCCTTGCGAATGGCGGCTGGCTCAATTGCTCGTACACCGGCAGCGGTGGTGACCTTCCTAGAGCAGCTGGCGGCAGAAGTACGACCAATGGCTGAGCGGGAGCTCCAGGTACGGCAAATGTACGGAGCCTCACGGGAGTCAGATGCCGTGTCTCACAGGCACAGTGCGAGCGGCGACATGGCCTCGCTTCGTTGTCTTGTCGGTACCACACACACCCTCGCTTCTTCTACTCTAATGAACAAATGCATCGACGTAACATAATCCGTACTGCCGTACTGTCGTATTGCTGTACTGCATTACGCAGACCCTAATGCACCTCAAAGCCTTCGACATGCGAAACAGTCGTCATCCTTCCGCCTCCACCGGCATCTCCGCCTGGGATGTTGAATACTACGCCGCACGTGCCCGGCAGCGAATCATCACGAGTTCGTCCTCCGCCGTACTGCGGTACACTGCCGTACCGTCCGTACTGGCGGGCGTACAGCACTTGTTACGGCGGGTATTTCGCATGGAGCTGCGGGTTTCCCCTGCTGCCCCCGGGGAGGGGTGGGCTCCGGGGGTGCTCCGTTGCGATGCTGAACACGCGGACTTGGGTCCCTTGGGCACCGTGTACCTCGATTTGGCGGATAGGTGCGGGGGCTCGGGGCGCAGTGGGCAGGTGGACTCCTGGATATGTATGTAATGCAAAAACAGCAACAACAACTACGAATGCTGCTACTGTTACTACCACTACTACTACTACTACTACCACTACTACTATTTTTACTATAATGCTACTACTCCCGCTGTTAATGCTACTACTAATGCTACTAGTAATGCTGTAAAACCACATGTATACGGGGGGAAATAACAAACAAACATATAAACACACGCACACACATACACAGCGCACAGACACGTCTCCGGACGTTGGCAGCTCTTTCTTGGCCTCCCGTCTACTCTGAACTCCCCCGCCCCCCTTCACACTGTCCCACCCAGACCCACACGACCGCCAAATACACCACTCGTCACCGTATCGATGTTGTCCTGACATATATTCCTGACAGGCCTGGCAAGTACCCAAGCGCCGTGACCTTCCCCATCACATGCGGGCGACAGCTCTCCCCCCCCTCCTCCTCCTCCTCCTCCTCCTCCCGGGGTGATGGCAACCGCCAACTGCCCGTCATGGCTCTGCTCGCGTCAGCGTCAGGAACGTGTCCTGCCAGCGGTCAGCCCGCCATGTCGTACAGGGAGCTTCGGGTGCTGTTGCATGAGCTCGGACACTGCTGCCATAACTTGCTTAGTCGGAACAAGTACCAGCATCTGTGGGGCACGAGGTGAGAGTTTTTTTTCAGGGTTGTGTTTTTAGGGTTGGTCTTGGCACAACACGCGTGACGGGACGGGGGCCTTAGTCTTGGAGTGTTTGTTAGTGTTTTCCCACAAGGTTTTAGGGGGTTGACGTTTTTGTTTTGGAGCATTTGTGGGATTGGAGGTGGGGGGAGAAGTACCAGAAGGGTACAGAAAGCTCTGTAGGTGTACCAGTTTGAGAGTTTAAAAACTACATAAATCAGGTTTGGAGGGGAGGTAGCTCTTCCTTACCTTACCTTGTGCAGCTCCCACTTTTGCTCTCGTCAGCCCTCACCCTCTTCTCCTCAACCCTGTTTCCCCCATCCGTCCGCATCATGTCTCCCTCTACATCCTCTCCCCTCGTGTTGTTGAAGTTCCCTTTCATCCTCCTCCTCCTCCCCCCAACACCCCCCAACACCCCCCAACACCCCCCAACACCCCCTCCCCCCAACACCCCCCAACACCCCCCAACACCCCCCAACACCCCCCAACACCCCCCAACACCCCCCAACACCCCCTCCTGCCAGATGTGCTCAGGATCTGGTGGAGGTGCCCTCCCACTTGTTCGAGTACTTTGCCAGTGACCCACGGGTCATGGGGCTGCTGGCCAGGGATCGCTCGGGATGTGCTGCAGGGGCGGGGGGCGATGCGGAGGAGGGGGAGCCCATTCCAGAGGAGCTGTTCAGGTGCGTGTGTGTATGTATGTGCGTGTGTAGTGAATGATGTACGGATTTAGACTAACATACATACATACATACATACATACATACATACATACATACATACATACATACATACATACATACATACATACATACATACATACGGCATATGACATGAGAATTAGCAGATGGGGGGCTGGTGGGGAGGCTGGCAGGGTGTGTGTGTTAGGGGATGTCTCTCTCTCTCTCCCTCCCTCTTCCTCCATTTAATAACTCTGAATCCTCCTCCCCCTTCGAAATCTGCTCCGTCCCTCGCTGACCACCTTTTCCACCTCAGATTGAACGTTTTCTCCCCTCCTCCGCCCCCCCGGGAGTCTATCTGCACACGATGCCCTCCCTTCCAACCCGCCCCTTGTCTGTCCGGCCCTCAGGCAGCTCGCCGCGGGCCGTTCCGTTGCGGCGGCTCTAGAGCTCCAGCAGCAGCTGGTGCTGTCACTGGCTGACCAGTGGCTGTTCGGAGAGGGGCATGGGCATGCAGGTGTAGGAGCGGGAGGAGGAGGAGGAGGAGCGGGAGGAGCGGGAGGGGGGTTGGAGGGGGCGGGTGGGGGGAGCTACACGGGGGCGGCTGGGAGCCACATTTGGCGGAAGGTGAGTGTGAATGTGACGGATTGGGTTGAGGGGAATGCGACGGTGGGGGGAGGGGGAAGTTGGGTAACAAAGATGCAGGAGGGGGGCTGCTGTACGACATGGCGATGTTGGATTTCTTGTTGGTGTTACCGAAATGTCGTCATTGGCCCCCCTCCAGGCCCCTGCGTCAGAGAACACCGTGCTTCCCTTCTCCCTTCTTCTCCCTTTTCCGGGCCGTTATGCTGCTGCTGTACTCCTGCGTGTCGTACCCAGGCGGTCCACGTGGCCAGCAGCGTGCCGTACGTGCCCGGTACGAAACCCGAGCTCCGCGTGGGACATCTGACCATCTACGGGGGCGCGTACTACGGTTACGTGTATGCGAGGTGCTTGGCAGCTCAGCTTTGGAAACTCACCGGGTTGGAGGAGGCACCCTTGGACTCGGGCCCAGGTCAGTTGCGTCTAATTATTTATTAATAAAACCGTCGTATCATCAATGCACCGCAATCTGCCGTACAATTTACCGTACATTCTGGCAGTACGATTTAAATATTTTTTGAGCCTTCCGCCATCATGCCGCGCGCATTCATAAAAAAAAAGCCTAGGCCTGGTTCAAGCTGGCTGCAGATTGCAACCTTTGTTGAATAAGATCTCTCAGAAACCTTCCGTGACTAAACAAACTGTAAATGTAAACCCGGAACTGTCAAAATGCGTCAGGGACTCTTGTACGGGAGCGGCTGCTCGGACCGGGAGGCTCCCTGGAGCCGTTAGACCTGCTGGCGGGGCTGGCAGTGGGGCACGGAGGCGCTAGTTCCCTTGGATCCACGTCGGACCCGGCAGCGGCGGCCGCCGCCGCCGCAGCAGCGGCAGGCGCGTCGCCGGGGGCGGTGGCGGCGGCGGCGAGGCTTCGGCGTCTGGAGCCGTGGCAGGTAGCAAAGCTGCGGCAGCGGGGTGTGGAGAAGGCGCTGGCACCGGCGGCGGAGGGCGGCTTTCTGCAAGCGCTTGAGGGGGGGTTCGCACCACGGCCCGAGCAATACCTGGAAATGCTCCGGAAGGGCTCCGGTAGTCCCGAAGGCTTGCGGTCCACGTGATGATGAGGAAGAAGGAATGGTAGATTGTTGCTACTTTGTGACTGTGGGTGTGCATTGACTATGAGTTACGGAATATACCGCGATTTGGACCGAACGTGTGCCGAAGGTGGCGGTTGGCGTGGTGGAGTGGGATTTCCGGTTTGCCTTGCGTTGTGTTGTGTTGTGTTGTGCTGGGAGTGGGGTGTGCGGACAGGACTGGACATTGTGCGAATGTAAGAATGAGGCAAAGGTGTTCAGGGTTGAATGTCAGGAAGTGAAATCCAGGTGAAATGAAATGACGAGTATCCTGAACGTATTTGCCATTCATACGCGACTCGGCCCAGAAGTAGTCTCAATGAAGAGCAACAGCAATTTGGCCCCCAATTGATAGGAGCAATAATTCTGCACTCAATCCATTCTGTAATGAAGGGGTCTTCATTCCAAAAAATGATATTGGGCCCTCGATTTGGGCTATTATGGAATGGAGGGTCAAAATGAAGCCGGCCGGAATGGGTGTGTGAATCGATGAATATAGAATGAACGGCCATGTTCCCAGCTGGGTGTTTGTAAACCTGCAGAACACACGTTTTAAATTCCGAGGAGGCCTCCATCATCATCATCATCATCGTTAATGACTCACCATACATCTCACAAGATTGAACGCGACAATCCAACGCAGCCAAGCCAATAAACCCAATGATGCAGCAATAGAGCAATAACATGTAACGCCAGCCAGCTAAACCTACTGATATCTCCGACCCAACCAACCACACATCAGACATCACCCACCTCAACGTCTCGCCTCCTCATGTACATACATACATACACACATACATACATGCATATATGTATGTGTGTATGTATGTATGTAGATACATACATGCACACATGCATAGGCACATTTGCAGAACAGAACAATATCCCTACATGTACACCTGCACCAAAATGAGCATATGTCGGACACACATTTTTCAGTGCTGGTACTGCTATTTTGCCGTACATCCATGCACCTTACGTACCATTCCTCAGGCTACTGCCACAGGCAGCAGCCACATCGAGAAGTCCGCACACGACACCATTTAGTTAGGTCGTTAGGTCGTTATTTAATTAGTTAGTCAATGCAAATGCCAAGTTTCATAACGGTAATCAATGCCAGGTAGCCACCGATAGCTTCCTGTTGGACTCTAACCCCCACCCCACCTCCCTGAGAGAACCCTTTCTTAGCTATACACATTATCATATACATACATACACACCGCCTTGCTTCCCGGGCGGCTGCTTGTCTCCCGATCCCTTTATCCCTCCTCCTTGCACACCCACTTCCACACCCACATCCCCATCCACGGGCCCCCGGCCCCCCCCCGGCCGCTCCGCAGTCACCCTACAGCGCTTTTTGTTCACCAGCTGCCAGACAGCTACTGCACCCCCCCACCGCTACTTCGCCACTTGGCCACTTCGCCTACCCATCAGGGAGCGTCATGCGTGTGTGTGTAGGTATGTGTGTAGGTATGTGTGTATGTCGGTACATGTGATGCAGTAACCCCTCCAGAGCTCGCTCTCTATTATCACGCGCACAGTTTCTGTCTGCCCACGGAGGCCTCCGACCTCTATTATGTACTTACATACATAATGACAGACCTGTTGACTATCGCTACTTCCGCCACCACTACCACCGCCAGACGCCTCCCTTCCCAACCATTGCTCCACTCCTTCCCCGAATGGAGGTGGAGGTGGAGGTGGAGGTGGAGGTGGAGGTGGAGGTGGAGGTGGAGGTGGAGGTGGAGGTGAAGATATGCAGCGCTGTGACAACCCTAACTAACCCTAACTAACTGGACCTCAGGTCCCCAACCCGACCAAAGACCGGTGGTGACCCTGGCCCAACCAACCGCCCAACCAACCGCCCAACCAACCATCGGCTTTCCACTCGGCATCGATGGACACACCAACAATTGCCATCCACTGCCGTCTGCAGTAGCTGCAGTACAGTGCAGTACGAATACTGTACTGCAGCTACTGCAGACATCCGGCAGTGGATGGCAGTAATACCGCACACACTTTTAGAATCTTACACCAGGGCAAGGACAGCCGCCAATGAAGGCGCACTCTTAACCGCGCCTGCCGGTACGTATCCATGCATGTATACATACATATATACAGGACGTACATATATGTCAGGCGGCTTTCCAAACGAGGGCCCTTTTGCTCCAAACAGATAAGCATCAGATACAGGTCCGTATGTGTACACGTACCGCCTGCAGCGCTCAGCGGCCCACCCCTCCCCCAATTGACAAGCTGGATGCCGAGGCGTGTAGATCCGGTAGCGATATCTTGCCCGTGCTCTGCCAAGTGTTGACTTGCTGCAGAGTGCGCTGGTTGAGCAGCCGCTCCGTCTCGGACATGGGCTTGGCGGCCTCGCGGCGGCGGGCGGCCACGTCCCGGAGCTAGAGTGAAGGTCGCGGTGAGGGTTGTTGTAGGAATGCGGGTTGTAGGAATGAATGCGTAGGAGGGGGAAGGGGAGGGGAGGGGGAGAAGGGCAGTGGCGGCAGAGCGGAGTGAACCAGGGGGGAGAGCTCTGCCAGGACATATGCTGGCGGCGGCGGTTGCAGGTCAGGTAGGTAGGTAGGTAGGTGTGGGGGCCGCTTAAGAATGCCGCCCTTCGTTCTCCATGTCCCTGTTTTCCAGTCTGTCTGTCTGTCTGTCTGTCTGTCTGTCCAATCCCTCCCTGTCCAACAGTCTTCGTGTCTGGGCGCTCCAACCCCATGGGTGCCTAGAGCAATCAAAGCTTGCCAAAATGCATCAAGCCGTACTTTGTCTGGGTCCCATACATTTCGTACATTCCGTACCAAGGTCCGTACCTTATTAGTCATCTACCTAGCCGCTCGTCATCCAGCACCCACCCGTTAGTCCCGTCACACACCGCAACGGATCCCTTACCTCGCCGCAAACGGGGCCATACACACACACGGGGCCGCAAAACCCCCCGAAGCTCCCCCCCCTGCACTTCACCGCCTCCACCCCTCCTCTACGCACACACACACGCACCTGTTCCTCAATCTCCGTACGGAACCTCCGCTTCTGCTCGGCCAGTGCAGCCCTGCGAGCTCGTTCCGCCTCCTCCGCCGCCCGGACCCTGGCCGCTACGGTAGCCGCGTAGGCCTTCACGCGGGAGGGGGGGGAGACGAACCACCAAGTAGTGAAGAGGGGGGGGAGAGGGGGAGGGGGAGGAGAGGAGAGGGGGAGGAGGTAGAGGAAAAGGCGTGGATGCAACGATCACGAGCCACACAAAGTACGGCAGACGAGGGTTTCCGGTACGACATCTGCTCCTTCGACATGTGCACAGCGCTTGCTTGCACGTTGCAGGGTACAGGCAGGTGGAACAGTGGCAAACGATCAGTTGAAGGTGCGAGCTAGCTCTGCTCCTCTCACATGACGTCGTTGTGAATGCAAACACACATTAGCCCTAATAAGGCCCACAATTCCATGTTTTTAAAAATTAAAATATGAACGCGGCTGATTTGGGGAGTGCGGTGTATACAATACTGTACGGGAGTTGGTTGCTCCAGGGTGTGATGGCCGCGGGGTACGGGACTCCCAAGCTCATACATACATACATACATACATACATACATACATACATACATACATACATACATACATACATACATACATACATACATACATACATACATACATACATACATACATACATACATACATACATACATACATACATACATACATACATACATACATACATACATACATACATACATACATACATACATACATACATACATACATACATACATACATACATACACTATGACCGTCGGCCAACCGCGGCCGTGGCCACCGACAGCGACCTCAATTGTTTGAGCGTAGTTATGGTTATCTAATTAGCCTGAAAATGTCGCAGAGGCGACCAGCAGTGGCTGTTAGCCGCGGCAATGTTCAAAATGGCCGCCAGCCGACCTCAGCCGCGAGACCGCAATCCATACCGACCAAAAAGATAAAGGCCGTCAGTGGCTTTTACGGAACAAATGAAGGCTTGGCTTTCTACAGAGCCACACTAGAACTGGAACCGATCGTGGTGACAGTCCGGTGGCCAGCGGGCTCAGATACGGGCGACATCATCGCGCAAATATACGGTCCATTAGGACTTCAAATTCTGGCAACAATTGGCCAAATCTTCCGCAGCAACCAGGAGTTCAACCGTTGGGGAGGCCCGCGCATTCAAAAACGGTTGCTTTATCCGATGGGAAGGGAACGGCACATTGTGATGGAACTCTCCATCCTTGTGCCAAAAGGAGGTTTAGCAGCGTTGACAGCGACCAGGCGCATCGTTAACGGGCGATTGCGCGTGCCTGGGGTGCAATTGACC